GCAGACAATCGCACACATAGCGCGCGCGAAAATAAACTGTATCGTGGTAGTAAGAATGTGACAAACGCCAGAGTAGCTACATCTAAACCTTAGGTTAGTGACCCAGTGATGCATCGGTATCGACTCACGAAAGCACGAAACATGCTACCATTTGAGTACTTACAGCCTAGGTGCCACACCAATTATTATGCTTACCTATTACACAAGGTGCGTCGGTCCTTCCGAGTAGTCCGCGTATCCCAGTCAACTGAATCCCAAAAGGCGGCTGTGTCACCACTCCAGTCACACAAGCCGCGCGCACATATGGCCAGTTCCGAACCAGAATGTCACATGAGCTCCATGTTCAATCCGACGGGGCTCTACACTGCTGCCCCGGGGAGCCATACAGTTTGATCAAGCGAAATACAATAGGAGGACGGCGGGGGCGCATCCCCTCAAATCCTGGGACCACTGACAACGGTAGGTGGATAACCACACCGTGGAGGCAACAGGCTTGGCTAGCAGTACGAGCATCATATGTGACTAGGCTACTGCGCGGTCCACAAGATGTTCATGAGAGGCGGGCAGAGAGTCTGTGCCACCCAAGCACGAAAGGACTTGGGTTTTCGTGGCGGGAGTATGGCCGTGGAATTTTAATGAGGACATATTGTTGCAACAGCAGGCACATATTTTTCTTTTTCAATGCCACAGGCTCCCATCATCACCAAGGCAACATGGTATTGTTGTGGGAATGTTGTGCGTTCTCCATGGCTGACTTTCTCATTAGGTTCCTCAGTCCCAGCAGCATCGGTCTTAGACTATGATCTGGTCAAAAGTAGCGCACTATGTAGGGAATAGGGTGTCATTTGGGACGCATCCATGGCCAGCGAGGTTGAGGAGGGTTGAGAGGGCCTTATCTGTGCCTCCAGAAACAGACCTGGGACAGAGGAATATAATTGGGCTTCCCATTGTGAAAGATGTCCTATATCTGGCCAACATGGAAGCAACACCCACCCGTAGTATACGCTACAGCAGGTATATCTCACTGGTCATCCCCAAAGCCAACACCTCCTTTGGTCGCCATTCCTTCCAGTTCTCTGCTGCAAAAAACTGGAACGAACTGCAAAAATCTCTGAAGCTGGAGACACTTATCTCCCTCACTATCTTTAAGCATCAGTTGTCAGAGCACCTTACTGATCACTGCACCTGTACACAGCCCATCTGTAATTAGCCCACCCAACTACCTCATCCCCATATTGTTATTTACATTGTTATTTATTTTGCTCATTTGCACCCCAGTATCTCTATTTGCACATCATCTTCTGCACATATATCACTCCAGTGTTAATACTAAATTATAATTGTAATTATTTTGCACTATGGACTATTTATTGCCTTACCTCCATAACTTACTACATTTGCACACACTGTATATATATTTTCTATTGTGTTATTGACTGTACGTTTTGTTTACCCCATATGAAACTCTGTGTTGTTGTTTTTATCGCACTGCTTTGCTTTATCTTGGCCAGGTCGCAGTTGTAAATGAGAACTTGTTCTCAACTGGCTTACCTGGTTAAATAAAGGTTAAATAAAATCAAAATAAATAAATAAATGGTTAAACACAAAGTCTTGAAATGGGCGAGTATTGCGCTTGTGGGAGGACCAAGCTCTCTTTTGTGACCAACAGGACAGTGTTTGTATGTAGCTCCTTTACCCCACCAACTCCCCTAATCCTGCAGCATTCAACCAGCAGTTTAACCCATGGAGAGGATGGTTTAGTTTAGCCATTCCGAGGTTAAACCACTTACCCCTCCAAATGGGCGTGTAGCAGGAACCTTGCCCCACACCAGCCAGCCTGGCATGGAGAGCAACCTTCGCTCTCTCTCTCCCACTACTCTCTCCTCTTCCATCCTATCATCTCTTCCCTCTGCTCAATCCTTCTCCCTCCAATCTCCTGATTCTGCCTCCTCAACCCTCCTCTCCTCCCTTTCTGCATCCTTTGACTCTCTGTGTCCCCTATCCTCACGGCCGGCTCGGTCCTCCCCTCCAGCTCCGTGGCTTGATGACTCATTGCGAGCTCACAGAACAGAGCTCCGGGCAGCGGAGCGGAAATGGAAGAAAACTAAATTCCCTGCCGACCTGGCATCTTTTCACTCCCTCCTCTCTACATTTTCTTCATCTGTTTCTGCTGCTAAGGCCACCTTCTACCACTCTAAATTCCAAGCATCTGCCTCTAACCCTAGGAAGCTCTTTGCCACATTTTCCTCCCTCCTGAATCCTCCCCCCCCCCCTCCCCCCCCTCCTCTCTCTCTGTGGATGACTTCGTCAACCACTTTGAAAAGAAGGTTGACGACATCCGATCCTTGTTTGTTAAGCCTAATGACACTGCTGGTCCTGCTCACACTGCCCTACCCTATGCTTTGACTTCTTTCTCCCCTCTCTCTCCAGATAAGATCCTGCGACTTGTGACTGCAGGCCGCCCAACAACCTGCCCGCTTGACCCCATCCCCTCCTCCCTTCTCCAGACCATCTCCGGTGACCTTCTCCCCTACCTCACCTCGCTGATCAACTCATCCTTGACCGCTGGCCATGTCCCTTCCGTCTTCAAGAGAGCGAGAGTTACTCCCCTTCTCAAAAAACCAACACTCGACCCCACTGATGTCAACAACTACAGACCAGTATCCCTTCTTTCTTTTCTTTCCAAAACTATTGAGCGTGCCGTCTTTAGCCAACTCTCTTGCTATCTCTCTCAGAATGACCTTCTTGATCCAAACCAATCAGGTTTCAGGACTGGTCATTCAACTGAGACTGCTCTTCTCTGTGTCACAGAGACTCTCCGCACTGCTAAAGCTAACTCTCTCTCCTCTGCTCTTGTCCTTCTAGATCTGTCTGCTGCCTTTGATACTGTCAACCATCAGATCCTCCTCTCCACCCTCTCCGAAATGGGCATCTCCGGCGCGGCTCACTCCTGGATTGCGTCCTACCTGACCGGTCGCTCCTACCAAGTGGCGTGGCGGGAAGCTGTCTCCGCACCACGTGCTCTCACCACTGGTGTCCCCCAGGGATCGGTTTTGGGCCCTCTCCTTTTCTCCCTATACACCAAGTCACTTGGCTCTGTCATATCCTCACATGGCCTTTCCTATCATTGCTACGCTGACGATACACAACTAATCTTCTCCTTTCCCCCTTCTGATCACCAGGTGGCGAATCGCATCTCTGCATGTCTGGCAGACATATCAGTATGGATGACGGATCACCACCTCAAGCTGAACCCTGGCAAGACGGAGCTGCTCTTCCTCCCCGGGAAGGACTGCCCGTTCCATGATCTCGCCATCACGGTAGACAACTCCGCTGTGTCCTCCTCCCAGAGTGCGAAGAGCCTAGGCGTGACCCTGGACAACACCCTGTCGTTCTCCGCCAACATCAAGGCGGTGACCCGCTCCTGCAGGTTCATGCTCTACAACATTCGGAGAGTGCGACCCTGCCTTACACAGGAAGCGGCGCAGGTCCTGGTCCAGGCACTTGTCATCTCCCGTCTGGACTACTGCAACTCGCTGTTGGCTGGGCTCCCTGCCTGTGCCATTAAACCCCTACAACTCATCCAGAATGCCGCAGCCCGTCTGGTGTTCAACCTTCCCAAGTTCTCTCACGTCACCCCCCTCCTCCGCACACTCCACTGGCTTCCAATTGAAGCTCGCATCCGCTACAAGACCATGGTGCTTGCCTTTGGAGCAGTGAGGGGAACGGCACCCCTGTACCTTCAGGCTCTGATCAGTCCCTACACCCAAACGAGGACATTGCGTTCATCCACCTCTGGCCTGCTGGCTCCCCTTCCTCTGCGGAAGCACAGCTCCCCCTCAGCCCAGTCAAAACTGTTCGCTGCTCTGGCACCCCAATGGTGGAACAAGCTCCCTCACGACGCCAGGACAGCGGAGTCACTCACCACCTTCCGGAGACATTTGAAACCCCACCTCTTTAAGGAATACCTGGGATAGGCTAAAGTATTCCTTCTAACCCCCCCCCCCCCCCCCCCCAAATTGTAAAGTGGTTATCCCACTGGCTATAGGGTGAACGCACCAATTTGTGAGTCGCTCTGGCTAAGAGCGTCTGCTAAATGACGTTGATGTGCCCTTGAGCAAGGCACTTAACCCTAATTGCTCCTGTAAGTCGCTCTGAGGTGGGTAAACAAAATCTGGTGTTTATAGTAAGGTAGAGACACACATATGTTGCTAGAGCAGTACAATTGCTTGGATAAGTAGTCTAACACATGTAGTTGGTTCTGATTTGGGGATGTCTTATTTTGCCATTGGTTTTCTTTGTTCTCCATCACAGTAAGTAGACCTATGCCTTGGGTAGCCTTTGTCAGCTTGTTTTGTGTTTAAACATTGGCATATATTTGGAATCTAGTAGGTGAGACCTACATTAACAATGACAGCAGTAAGGTGGTAAGGGGCTGCCATGAGTAATGAGGCTGGTGTCAGCAGTGACTGTGTCCTAATGACAGTGATAAATGAGGGCATGGGTCACAGAGACACTGGTGTGACACACCCTGAACAAATGCAATTATCACAGTTCACAGCAGGTAGAATTGATCTCAGGAAGGACTCATGTTGTCAATGAGAAAAGAGAATAAAAAATAAGAAAGTAGGAATGTTCCTGCTTATGACATCAGTACACTCAGAGGTGCAAAGCTGAATGGTACAGCATGTGATGCTGTGAAAGGACAATACACTCACTCCAGGTACAATGCTTGGGATTCAAGCTGAATGTAGAGTGCCCTCTACAGGACAGAAATTGACAGTGCATCTCTGTGTTGAGCGCTTGAGAACATTTTGTCTCAGACGCTTAGTGAAAGCACCAATCAATCACAACGACATAAACACTTTGGTCACATTCATTTTATTTTCATTCAACTAACAAAACAATCTTATTTACAGACATATCATTATGGCTTGCAGGGGCGTTTCTAAAATGATGGAATTTACTAGTTGACGCCAAAGCTCTAAATGACAATGTTTTCACTTGAGGCGGGTCTTCTTCAACTTTGAGGAATCTCCTGATGCTTTGCGCTTGCGGGAGGGGGTGGCGCCGCTGGCATCTGTGGCCGCTGGCAGACATTGGGCAGCTTCAGGCAGATAGTACATCTCTATTGGTGGAGTAGGCTCCTGGACAAAAAGACAAGACTCATGAGAGAGGAGTTTTAGTTTCTATCTTTTTATTTCTTAAAAGGAGCAACATGTTATATTTAAGCCATCGTATCGATTCCGTCATGGTTTTTCAAGGACACTGCTTTGAAACCCCTAAAATGGCTTAGTACTGCTTCTTACCTTTTCATAATCCCCAAAAACATCTGTTGCAAGGACGTGAAAAACGTGTACACAAAACAACCTGCCTGGCTAGTCACCGTCAAAAAAAGCTCATTTGCAGCGTCACGCTGCATTCTAATAAGTATGTTTTACCCGGGTGGATTTCTATTATTTTGCTACTACTGGTATGTAATTGATATTTAGCACTAGTTGCAGGTGGAAATGTTACACGGATAACCTTTAATTCACTGGCCAGGGTGGGTTTTATGGAGAATGTTGAACACATTGTATTGTTACATGAAGGAAAGTAACCACTTTATGGATCAAACATTAACCAAGGTTTCACATTAGACTTTCCCCAAATTACTTACAGTGCATTCGGAAAGTATTCAGACCCCTTGACCTTTTCCACTCAAGAACATTCAGAGACTTGTGCCGAAGCCACTCCTGCGTTTTCTTGGCTATGAGCTTAGGGTCGTTGTCCTGTTGGAAGGTGAACCTTCGCCCCAGTCTGAGGTCCTGAGCGTTCTGGAGCAGGTTTTCATCAAGTATCTCTCTGTACTTTGATCCGTTCATCTTTCCCTCGATCCTGACAAGTCTCCCAGTCCCTGCCGTTGAAAAACATCCCCACAACAGGATGCTGCCACCACCATGCTTCACCGTAGGGATGGGGCCAGGTGTCCTCCAGACGTAACGCTTGGCATTCAGGCCAAATAGTTCAATCTTGGTTTCATCAGACCAGAGAATCTTGTTTATCATGGTCTGAGAGTCTTTAGGTGCCTTTTTGGCAAACTCCAAGCGGGCTTTCATGTCTTTTACTGAGGAGTGGCTTCCGTCTGGCCACTCTACCATAAATGCCTGATTGGTGGAGTGCTGCAGAGATGGTTGTCCTTCTGGAAGGTTCTCCCATCTCCACAGAGGAACTCTGGAGCTCTGTCAGAGTGACCATTGGGTTCTTGGTCACCTCCCTGACCAAGGCCCTTCTCTCTCGATTGCTCAGTTTGGCCGGGCGGGCAGCTCTAGGAAGAGTCTTGGTGGTTCCAAACTTCTTCCATTTAAGAATGATGGAGGCCACTGTGTTTTTGGGGACCTTCAATGCTGCAGACATTGTTTGGTACCCTTCACCAGATCTGTGCCTCAACAGAATCCTGTCTCGAAGCTCTACGGACAATTCCTTCGACCTCATGGCTTGGTTTTTGCTCTGACATGCACTGTCAACTGTGGGACCTTATAAAGACAGGTGTGTGCCTTTCCAAATCATGTCCAATCAATTGCATTTACCACAGGTGGACTCCAATCAAGTTGTAGAAACATCCCAAGGATGATAAATGTAAACAGGATGCATCCGAGCTCAATTTCGTGTCTCATAGCAAAGGGTCTGAATACTTATGTAAATAAGGTATTTCTGATTTTTAATACATTTGCTAAAATTTCTAAAAACCTTTTCGCTTTGTCATTATGGTGTTTTGTGTGTAGATTGATGAGGAATTTATTAGATTTTTTAGAATAAGGCTGTAATGTAACAAAAAGTGGAAAAAGTCAAGGGATCTGAAAACTCTACGAATGCACCGAATACACTGCCTTTAAAGTAGTCAGACAACAAAAAATGCCTTCTGCAGTCTCTTTGTGAGGCAGTTATGCATTTTAGTTACAGTCCCACTAACCTGCATGAGGTAGTCTGCGATGAACTCTGGCTTTAGGCATTTGACCCCCTGGGACATGGCCTCTGGCACATCCACCCGGAAGTCTCCCGGCTTCAACCGACTGAACTCTGCAAACAGGTGGGTGGTTCCCTTGTACAGAGATGGAGAGGGACTGGGGAGAACCTGGAGAGAGGGTTAGGGAGAAGAAAGAAATATAGGAGAAAGAGAGGTTAGGAGAGAGGGTGGATGGGAGTTACATCCAGAAGTGTACAAGTGTCAATATCTACAAAGGCAAGTATGGAAGAGACTTGAAAAGCAGTTGTGTCTTAGTAGCTTTACCCAAACTAAGAAGATTGAGGTACAGTATGACAGATAAGAGCTTTGTTTGAACCTTTGCTCCACCAGACTGCAGGAGTCGTCTGAACCCTGACTCTCTGGTCCGGTCCATGTTCAGCATGACGGTCCAACCGCTGAATGATCCCTCCTGGTTGTTGCGGTCCTGCAGGTTCCTCCTCCAGCGCATGGCGGCCAACGCCAGCCTCTTCTGCTGGGAGCTGATAGACAGTAGGGCGTTCAGGATGGAGCTACTGCCCCACTCATACTCATCCTCCTGGAACACACAGTCAAGATACATAAAACAATGTGAAGTCTTCTGACCTCATTGGGACTTCCTGGTTAAATGAAGGTTAAATAAAACAAGCTGGGGCTAGAAATGAAAATGAAATAGTGGCATGTTGTGGTCTGATGCACTGATGGCCAGATCGTGACCTGGATGAAGTGTCCCACGGAGCGACAGGCCTCCAGGTAGGAGCAGTGCAGGATCCACTTCCCTGCGGCCATGGCTGCCAGGTACTTCTCATTTCTCAGGGGGGTCCCCACAATGATGTGGGAGCAGCTGGGGTCAAAGCACTGCTTGTCCAGCACCACACCACCTACAGGGACCCCAGAGGAACAAAGACATGTAGCGTCAGACAAAGACGCACACAGACAGACAAATGCAATAGGGGGACTCGCATAGATACAGACCAATGCAGATAAACAAGTAGACAAGAGTGTGTCCCAAATGGCACCATATTTAGTGCACTACTTTTGACCAGAATCCTATGGGCCCTGGTCAAAAGTAGCGCACTATATAGCGATTAGGGTGCCAATCTGAGACGCAACAAAGGAGTTGAGGCTACTTCAGACCACTGAGATGTACTACAGAGACAACAGGGCAAATACAGTCCAGTTAGATGGTCAGAGACAGGGAGGAGGGTGGAGGATTAGGACTCACCCAGCTCGTCTATGAGGGCGCTGTAGTCTATCCTCTCCTGGGGGTTAAGGGAGGACAGCTGGAATCGAGGAGGCTCCTTCTTCGCCTCGCTCTCCTCTTTAGTCTGTGGAGAGAACAAAGAAGCTTTTAGCATCACTGTCACAATCACTTTACACCACTGCGCAGCTAAGTATCGATTCAAAACATCTCAACATTTACTTATAATATCACCTTACAAGAGGGAGGGAGGGTGCGTGGTTACCTTTGGTTCTGGGGGCACAGGAGAGTTGGTGAGAGGGAAGGCGATGCTAGGGGCTTTAGTGGTGAGGTGGTCAGGCTCTGGCTCCTCCACTGGTGGGGTCATCACCCTCTGACCCATTGCTGGTCAATCACATCACACACCGCTGGATAGAAGAGGGTCAAAGGTCAATGAAACAGTTTCATTTAATTGATGATAACGTCTTCATATCTCAAAATCATTGTCATGTGGTTAATCTAAATTATATCCAAATCTAAATGAAAATGATACAAACCTAAAAAGTAACTTCTATTGCCAACAAATAAAAACATTGCAGCCTGCAGGTAGAAAATATCCTGATAAAAATAAATATCCTATCAATCATATTGGCTACACATGGCCTGTCTGCAATGAAATTGAAACATTGTATCAACTATTAATTTGGGTCGTTGAGCTAGCGAACTTGCAACATTGTATAAAATATTCTGGGCCCTCAGAGTTTCCCTGCCAGTGAGCTCTGGACAGACACAGCTGTAGGCTATTTGCACAAGGGATAAGAAGCAGTGCTTGACTTGGGCAGGAGCTCACCAGAGCTGAGTACCAGAACCTCAAATGTTCTCCTGCGTGAGTTCCTATTCCCCTTATAGAATATTAGCTCAAAAGTATTGTGGAGCTTCTACACCTAAATAGAAACAGTACCAGCACCCAAAATGAGTACCAGAAGCTATTTCAGTCCAAGTCCAGCACTGATAAGAAGCATACTTTATGACGTTTCCACTGGATCAGAGCATTGCATTTTTTCCCTTTCACGCTGAGTGGTTATCGAAAGGGAGAGAGCTGGAAATATTTTTTCAAATACATTGAGGAACTATTGTAATTCTTAATGGATGTAAAAATAGACTTCATTTGCTTGCTGTTTGAGGTGAAGAAAACATTACTTTGAGAAGCTCCACAGGTCATTAGTGGTGGTGCGTTAAGCTAATCAGAAATACTATCAGATCAAGGGTATCAAAAAATGTATCTAACATTGAAGGTCCCCAAGAACACAGTGGCCTCCATCATTCATAAATGAAAGAAGTTTGGAACCACCAAGACTCTTCCTACAGCTGGCCGTCCGGACAAACAGAGCAATCGAGGGAGATGGGCTTTGGTCAGGGAGGTGACCAAGAACCCAATGGTCACTCTGACAGAGCTCCAAAGTTCCTCTGTGGAGATGGGAGAACCTTCCAGAAGGACAACCCTCTCTGCAGCACTCCACCAATCAGGCCTTTATGGTAGAGTGGCCAGATGGAAGCCACTCCTCAATAAAAGGCACAAGACAGCCCGCTTGGAGTTTGACAAAAGGCAAATAAGTCTGGCTGCACAATCGATTGGCAAACATATTGCAAATTGAGAAATCATGTGACTAAACTGAATAAAAAGAAGAAGAAACTACACTATGAAACAAATATAAATGACAAAGAATGATAAAGCTTTGGAGCGCCTTAAATAAAATGTTGGGGAAAAAAGGCAAACTCAGCTCCATCATTCATTGAATCAGATGGCTCATTCATCACAAAACCAACTGATATTGCCAACTACTTCAATTATTTTTTTTTAATTGGCAAGATAAGCAAACTTAGGCATGACATGCCAGCAAACAATTGCTGACACTACACATCCAAGTATATCTGACCAAATTATGAAAGACAAGCATTGTAATTTTGAATCCCGTAAAGTGAGTGTGGAAGAGGTGAAAAAATTATTGTTGTCTATCAACAATGACATGCCACCGGAGTCTGACAACTTGGATGGAACATTTTAGAGGATAATAGCGGACGATATTGCCACTCCTATTTGCCATATTTTCAATTTAAGACTACTAGAATGTGTGTGCCCCCAGGCTTGGAGGGAAGCAAAAGTCATTCCGCTACCTAAAAATAGTAAAGCCCCCTTTACTGGCTCAAATAGCCGACCAATCAGCCTGTTACCAACCCTTAGTAAACTATTGGAAAAAATTGTGTTTGACCAGATACAATGCTATTTTACAGTAAACAAATTGACAACAAACTTTCAGCATGCTTACAGAGAAGGACATTCAACAAGCACAGCACTTACACAAATGACTGATGATTGGCTGAGAGAAATCGATGATAAAAATATTGTGAGGGCTGTTTTGTTAGACTTCAGTGCGGCTTTTTACATTATTGATCATAGTCTGCTGCTGGAAAAACATATGTGTTATGGCTTTACTCCAACTGCTATATTCTGGATACAGAGTTACCTGTCTAACAGAACACAGAGGGTGTTCTTTAATGGAAGCCTCTCCAACATAATCCAGGTAGAATCAGGAATTCCCCAGGACAGCTGTCTAGGCAAATTACTTTTTTCAATCTTTACTACTGACATGCCACTGGCTTTGAGTAAAGCCAGAGTGTCTATATATGCAGATGACTCAACACTATACAATGTTAGCTACTACAGCGACTGAAATGACTGCAACACTTAACAAAGAGTTGCAGTTAGTTTCAGAGTGGGTGGCAAGGAATAGGTTAGTTCTAAAACTAAAAGCATCGTATTTGGGACAAATCATTCACTAAACCTCAACTAAATATTGTAATAAATAAATGTGGAAATTGAGCAGGTTGAGGTGACTAAACTGCTTGGAGTAACCCTGGATTGTAAACTGTCATGGTCAAAACATATTGATACAACAATAGCTAAGATGGGGAGAAGTATGTCCATAACAAAGCGCTGCTCTACCTTCTTAACAGCACTATCAACAAGGCAGGTCCTACAGGCCCTAGGTTTTGTCACACCTGGACTACTGTTCAGTCGTGTGGTCAGGTGCCACAAAAAATGACTTAGGAAAATTGCAATTGGCACAGAACAGGGCAGCACGGCTGGCCCTTGGATGTACACAGAGAGCTCAAAGTGGCTCAAATGGAGGAGAGACTGACTTCATCACTACTTGTGTTTATGAGAGGTGTTGACATGTTGGGTGCACCGAGCTGTCTGTTTGAGCTACTGGCGCACAGCTCAGTCACCCATGCATTCCCCACAAGACATGCCACCAGAGGTCTCTTCACAGTCCCCAAGTCCAGAATAGACTATGGAAGGTGCATAGTACTACATAGAGCCATGACTACATGGAACTCTATTCCACATCAAGTAACTGATGCAAGTAGTAAAATTAGATTTAAAAAACAGATTAAAAAAACACCTTATGGAACAGCGGGGACTGTGAAGCAACACAAACATAGGCGCAGACACATGCATACACACACACGTACACATGGATTTTTGTACTGTAGATAAGTGGTAGTGGTGGAGTAGGGGCCTGAGAGCACACAGTGTGTTGTGAAATCTGTGAATGTATTGTAATGTTTTTAAAATTGTATGAACTGCCTTAATTTTGCTGGACACCAGGAAGAGTAGCTGCTGCCTTGGCAGCAGCTAATGGGGATCCATAATAAATACAAATACAAATACCTAAAGGACTCTCAGACCATGAGAAACAAGATTTTCTAGTCTGATGAAACCAGGATTGAACTCTTTGGCCTGAATGCCAAGCGTCACGTCTGGAGGAAACCTGGCACCATCCCTATGGTGAAGCATGGTGGTGGCAGTATCATGCTGTGGGGATGTTTTTCAGCGGCAGGGACTGGGAGACTAGTCAGGATCGAGGGAAAGATGAACGGATCAAAGTTCAGAGAGATCCTTGATGAAAACCTGCTCCAGAGCACTCAGGACCTCAGACTGGGGTGAAGGTTCACCTTCCAACAGGACAACGACCATAAGCTCACAGCCAAGAAAACGCAGGATGTCCTTGAGCGGCCCAGCAAGAGCCCGGACTTGAACCCGATTTAACATCTCTGGAGAGAGCTGAAAATTGCTGTGCAGCGACGCTCCCCATCCAACCTGACAGCGCTTAAGAGGATCTGCAGAGAAGAATGGGTGAAACTCCCCAAATACAGGTGCGCCAAGCTTGTAGGTTCATACCCAAGAACACTCGAGGCTGTAATTGCTGCCAAAGGTGCTTCAACAAAGTACTGAGTAAAGGGTCTGAATACTTATGTAAATGTAATATACTTTTTTTGTTTTTTTGCAAAGATTCCTAAAAACCTGTTTTTGCTTTGTCAACTATTTGATCCATTTTAGAATAAGGCTGTAATGTAACCAAAATGTGGAAAAAGTCAAGGGGTCTAAATACTTTCCGAATGAACTGTATGTAATGGGGAATTGATATTCACTAACAATCAAACACAAACAATTCACACAATGAAGTTATGAAACAATGAATGTGCACAAATTGGAGGGAGAGAGCGTATTCTGGAGAGAGAAGTGCATTGTGCATCTGGGCGCACGGTCAAGCAGCATTTACGGCGATATTTCCTCAGCAGAAGTCAGAGCATTCATACTTCTTGCGCTTCGCGGAGCAGAGTAGAGCTATTATCAAGGAAGTGAGTTTGTGTTTATACAGGATGTACCACCCCCACCTACCGTCAACCAATCATGTCAATGCGGAGCTCTACACAGCCCTCCGCATTGTTACAAAATTTGGGAGGCGCATGGCGATGCAGTATGGAGCTCGATTTGGCCTCTCCATGCCCCGCAATTGCGTCACACCCTCCATATGGAGTCTCTGACCACATTTTCGAATCAAGCATAAATTGGCTTTTAGTCTAGGCCTCCGCACTGGATTAGTTCACTGAGATGGGCGCAAATATATATATTTGTTACTGCTCGACTAAAACAATTAAAGGTCGACCAACAGCCAGCCTAGGTTGGCATGCTTTCTCTCTATATTCAGCTATTAATAGGCTAAATTGAGTTATTATGATATGTATTAAAAAGCTGTGTAATATAATTTAGCAATGCAAGTCATTACTCTATTCTTTAGAATTGCATGGTATTAATTGCATCACTTTTGTTTCTATAGTATATCATTTTAAGAAGATTTGAAAATAGGACGCTGCCCCTTTAAGACAAACCTACCAAAAGAGATATTGACATCAGTGTTGCCACATTCGGGGTTTTCCTCCCAAATTGGGCTACTTTGAAAACGATTTTGCGGGTGACAATTTATTGGTCGCGGGTTGTGGGTTTTTGGGCTATTTCTAAGTTGCACCGCGGCCGCCATGGCA